TTTTTTTATAATTTAAAAATAAATACTGCAAAAAAATAATCCTTATTTTCAAATATTATTATACCAAATTTTATTTAGATACTTTAACATTTTAAAAAAGTAGATCAAAGCCAAAAAAATATAATTATACAGACAAATTTGCTTACAAAAACCTATAATCTAAGGAATAGATAACAAGTTGCTATAGTCATAAAATAGTTAAACTACTAGAAACATAATTATAAAAAAAAAATAAAACTAAAATAAATAAAGTAGACTTAATATATTTAAATTAGCTATTTAATACAAAAGGTAAAAGGCTAATAACATGATAATAATTTAAAAGTTATTAGAAATAATCAAATAAGAGTAAAAAAACAAAATAGTTCAAAATAATAAAAACAAAAATGCTTAACAGATTAGAAAGCAGAGAGGTTAAAAAACTCTTTAAAACAGATAAACATAATATACAAACAATAATAATTAAATAAAAAAACCTATTAAAGAATAGATAAAAGAGAAAATAAATATTGTATAGTACAAAAAATAACAGATAATTGAAAAAAGTAATTAGAAAAAAAAAGTTACTAATAGAATATTGATAGATGCAAACTATAAAGAATATTTTAGTAACTGAAATTAGCAAATATAACAGATGTATAAGTGAAGAAGAATAGTAAAAAACAATTGTCAATATTGAATAAGAATTAATAACAAGATTAATGTAATTTTAAACATATTAATAGTGAAAAGCAACAATATAATCAAAACAGCAATAGACCAATTAACAAAATGCACAAGAATAGAAGAATAAAAAAAGAATGAACAAAAGCTAACAGAACTCAAAATACTAAAGGATCTAAAAATAGAGTTAGTTAAAAAATAAAAGTTAAGAAAGAATATTATTCAAAAAATAGTAGAAACTCTAAAAAAAAATGTATTAAAAAACAAAAACAAATATATAATATACACTAATAGTGCAGTAAATAGATAGAATAAAAAAAAACAATAAAAAAAACATGAGTATAAATAGATATAAACAAATAAAATACAAGATTAGTTAGAGAAAAAGATAGTATTAGAAATAAAAAAATGACTAATGTCAATTATAGCTAAGTTATTAACAATATAAATAGCAATTTTAACAATATCAAAAGATAAAAAATTAAAAATATTTACAAACAGTAATGCTATAATTAGAAATATTAGTAGAGATTTAAAATATATAGATTGAAATAAATTTTTAAAAAAAAATATTTTGTAAATAATAAAGATAATCAACCTAATTAAAACAAAAAATATACAGATAAAGTAATTTAAAGTGAAAAGATATAGTAAAAACAAATAAAATAATAAAGCTAACAGTCTTATAAAGAAAGAAACATAAAGCAAAAAGCTAATATATATAAAAAAATCAGTTATAAAAAGATAAAGCACTGCTTAAAGTGAAAAAACAAATAAATAAATATACTAACAAGACTTTTATATAAACTAGTAATAAATATCAAACTAGATGCAGGGTAAAGAGAAACAATAACAATCAAGAATTTAAAATTAGTAACAGAAATAATGATTTATAATTAGATATATTTTTAAAAAAGGCTAAAGTTAACTAAAGAAATACATTGTATAACAAAAAAGAGCAGTACAAAAAAATATTTTTACAAAATATATATTAAACAAACTTTTAATATTAAAAAAACTCAACAAAAAAATATCAAATATATATACAATTACAAAATGCCAAATATGTTAAAACAAAATTAAAAAAACACAAGAACATTTGACATCATGCAAGAAATAAAAAAAATTTTTTAAAAAAATACAAAAAATATTTATTCAACAACATGAAAAAAATTAAAAGAAAAAAAAACAGAATTTTATTTTATATGTTATATATAATACTTTTTAGAAAAATAAAAACAAAAAATAGAAATAAAAAAACATTAATCAAAAATCTAATTCCAAAAACCACTTAAAACAAACTAATACAACTTTTAAATACAAGAATAAAACAATAATTTGTAAAAATTACCAAAAACAATCTAGAATACTTTTTATAAACAAATTTGAAAAATACAATATAAAAAAATTAATGCATAAAAAAAAATAAAATAAAAATAACCAGCAAAATAAAAAAAATCCAAAAAATAAAAAAATTTCAAACAAAAAAAAAAACTAGTTAACAAGAAATAAAAAATAAAAAAATAAAATAAATTGAAAATAAAACTAAAAAAACAATTTTAAGACTTGTCATAAAAAAGAAAAAACCCTTTTATTATGAACTTTAAATAATCAAACAAGCAGCTTATTTTTATTTAAAATAATACAAGTTGCACTTAAACATCATTAAAATAGCCAGATAATGCTAGGCTTAGTTGTTAGGTATATATATGTAATTGCAATAGTAATTCCAAAAATCTTAATAAAGTACTAGCTTGACTGCTTAAGTTTAAAAAATAATAATAATAATAATAATAATAATAATAATAAACTAAGTAAAAAAATACCACAGAGCATTACATTCAATACCCTTCCAGGATTTAAATCCAAGTATATTTTAATACCATCATGAAAGATTCTGATTTATGCCTGAGTATAAATTGAACTTGCAAAACTAATAACATCTAAAAAAAATAAACCTTTACCTTAAGATCAATTTAAAATATTCCCTTGAATTGTACCCTTCTCCTCACACAATATCTCCAGGGTACAAATCAAATTTAGTGCCGTGGTTTTGGTATATACCTGAGTACTGAATGCAGCGCTCTGCGGTAATATATTTGCTCGAGAATACATAATCAATCAATAATTGGGTCAACCATTGATCGATTATACAGTATTTTATAAAGATATCTGTAAAATAATTTTTTTAGAGATTTCTTAACCGAACAAATTTTAAACATTTAATCGATTAACATAATCAATCATTGATTGACTCACTTTTGATTGAGCTTATCAAGCTTAATCGATCAATGATCGAGGCAATACACTATATGGAGGGACGACTGTAATACAGACCAGTTCCAATTTTTTTAGTTCCAAGACTTGTTACAACTTGCGACAGTGCTAATCTTTTGCTTATATATTGTTATGCAAAAGTAACTAAGCTTGTAAAACTGCGGTGTTTCATACGTATAGAAACTGTGATGGTATTACCTTAAATTGATCAGTCAATAACAATGAAAATTCGCTATGTTCATGTGCTCTGTTTTTTTTTTGTTTTAAAAAAAGATAGGGGCTCCTGACTTTCGGTTACTAGTATATAACAACAGAGGAACCTTTAATCCAGTTGAAAATACTCGTAAAATGGTTATAGACAAAGAAAGAATAAAAGAATAAAGTCATATTATAGTTGAATTTGTGATTGGAGAGGAGATTAAAAGATAATGACAAATCATCGATGTAGAGTTTGGAAGCAGTTTTATTTTAATATATGAAAACTAAACCCGGATCCAAACTCTAGGGTCGATATGGTGCTAAAATTAGGGTTTTGGGATTATATATTGGTATGTTTCTAGTTTCTTCAAGTATACAAAAAAAAACATTATTTTTCATAACAGTAAGTATATGTAGTGATAATTGATATTAAAATTAATGCTTGCACTGATTAGCTTAGACCTAAAGCGGAACTTAAAGCATTTTCACGTATCTAACATAGAATAAATTTGAATCATGCCAGCCCGAGAAGAATGCTACAAGTTCTGAGAAAGGGTATCTATCATCCCGCTTAATTCCTTCCTTAGCCTTTCGATATCTACACCTAATCCATCGAGATCTCTGCGAGATACAAGTAATTGATCATTGACACGTATAAGATTTGTACAAAGATCATATGTAGCATCGAGTGTTTCTGAAGATATTGGAGTGTTAGCAGATGGCAATTTAGTCAAATGCTCGATAAGTGACGATGACGTTGTGAATTTTAGAGGTTGAGCTGTAAAAATATTAAAATATTTTTAAGTGTCGATCGAATTTTTTTTTTATTGAGAAAATAAATTTAAAAAGAAGTTCACTTCTATCTCCAGATCCATCGGTTTTATTATTTTCGTTATCAATATCAGTATTGACTATCTCTAAGATATCTTTTTTTTTTCCAATAGCTTGCTTATTGTAAGTTTGTAAGCGGGTCAAATCCGATAAAATGTCGTTAAATGAAAGAGGAGGAGGTGGTACTGGAGAAGTTGGCTTACGTTTAAACATTTTTTTTCAATTGAATTAAGCAGGAATAAAAACTATCATTATGTAACCATATTGGTTATTTTTTATTAGCACGTGCCATCCACAAATTTTCTCAACTACCCGAAAGCACTCCCGAAAAAATATACGCGCCATTTTCAAATAAAAATGGACTGAAATAAACTTTGACACCATTTCAGATTTCATAATAGTTTGGATGATTTCTCTATTCTTTATATTTACTGACATGACAAATAAAAATTCTAAGGATTTAATCAAGTATATTTGATATACTAGGTAAATGCATAGCATTGTATGTCCAGAGCGAGTATTAAATTACAAATTATACTACATTTACTATACTATATATATGTGTTCTATTTGATTGGACGATCGTCACATGATGTGGCCGGACAAACAAACCTTGCATATCACCCTTTACAGAATAATATAGTGTCCTTCGCTACGCTCCGGACTAATTATTATCGTATATACACATTTTTGTGATATATATACGTATCCGGAAATTTTTATTATTGGCAAGGTTATGTACGTACTACATACAGTCAAACATTGTAATGAATTTCCTTATGTCAAGAAAATCCCGAGCTGCCGGCCAAAAAGATATGGGCCGCAGTATATCAAAATTCTCTATATATTTAACATTAACAATCGTGTTTTATAAGTAAAATTTCATTCTGAAAACTTTTACTTAGAGGTCGGAAGTTAGTCATCATAGTAAATTTTTGTGTTATTTACGTTATTTTACAATTTCTTATGTTTTTCGCGTTTGTTTTGTTACACGAGATCCTGTGATTTTATTGGATCCGGATAGGGTCGGAAGTGATCTTCAGCGATCTTCAGCCCGGGATTTTCTTGACATAAGGGTGCCCCATTGTAATACTCGAATATCTCATGTTCGATATTGAATAAAATGTCATTTTCATCTCCCAATGAAGACGATTATTCTGACCTTGAGAGACGCCTCAATGAATTAAAGAAATCTAATAATATTAAAACCGAAGAAGAATTAACAGAAAGGTTTACAAGCCTTTTTGGGAGATCAACAAGCTTTGAAGCAAAAGAGGTGGTAAAAGATAGAACCTATGAATTACCCGCCGAAAATGTATTGAATGACGATGAGGTATTTTAAAGGTTATTATCTAAACCACCATTCTAGTGTTTAATATATATAATTTTTATTATATAAAGATTGAACAATTGTTATTATCCGAAGAAAATTTATTGGATGATGAATCATTATTTTCTGTTACACATCAAAAGAAGCTAGACAGCATTGTTTCGAAATTCTTGGGTGATGATGAAAGTAATCGTGGCGATGACGTTGTAGCTTCAGATCTTATACGTCAAATACAAGATGACGTTTATCTAGAGAATAAGTATGGCAATAAAGAAGGAAAAGTAATAGACTATGATGAATTGGAAGAAAGATATAGATTGTTAAAAGGAGATAGTGTGAAATCATCATCAATTAGTAGTGAGAAGAGTGGTGTTAGCCCACTAGGACCTCCACCTAAACCTTTAGAATTATCTGAATTTGAGAATGATGATCCGGATACTTGGTGTTGTCAGTTCGATTAATTAATATGCTAATAATTTGTAAATATTTATAACTTAGGTATTAGATACTGACTATTTAATTTGTAGGTATTTGTAATGAAGATGCAGTAGTTAGATGTCGAGATTGTGATGATTTATATTGTCAAGAGTGTTTTCAAAATGGCAAGTTAATATTACTTAGTTTTAAACCAACGATTTTACCATTTTTTAGACTGACTCAATTAATTTTAATAGGACATTTTGGTAAAGATTCGGATAGCGAACTAAAACAACATAAATACGAAAAGACATGATTTATGAGAATAATAAATCGTAAATTATACTATGTATTATTATTATTAAATTTTAAATTATTGTAAAGGTTTTTTTGGAACACTAGGAAGTTGTTCCAACAAGTTTTGTACTTTTTTCTCTCGTCGTTTTTTGTTAAAATTGGATTCTCGTAAATAAAATATATCTCTATGTAAGATATACTGTTTTGGCTTAGGTGGTGGTGGGATGGGTGCTGGCGATTCCTTGTTCGTCTCTTTTTTGTCTTTATTTTTTTCATCTTTCTCTTTTTTATCTTTACTCTTTTCATCTTTCTCTTTTTCGTCTTTATTCTTTTCATCCTTTACTTTTTTAGTCTGTGTCAAATCTTTATTTTTTTCGTCTTCAGCAGCTTTATCGGCATTTTTTTCTTTTTTAGTGGGTTCTTTTTTTTCGGTTGATTTCGGTGATGGTGGTAGTTTTTTTTCTGGCTCTGGAACTACCGTTGCAAACCCATGATCGTCCAAGTGACTTGAATGAAAATAAGGTCCAAATATTAGTCATAAATTTTATATAGTTACAAATTTTATGCTAGCATTTTAATTGCATCGTTTATCGAAAGCCTATGAAAAAAAGATAATTGTTCATTATTTAAAAATTGCATTAAACCAACCTAGTGCAAGTATAAAACCAATCTAACCCATTATCTGTTGTCAAAACTGCTTTCGTAAAATGATTGCATATAAAGCATGGTCGTTCTGATGTTGCGGTGCGATGTGTATAAAGGTTCTTAAGCGTCGGCACAGCAGTAGTCATTTGCACAGGATAAAAGGAAATTTCGTTCATAAGCATTGAAGAAGTTCGTTTTGATTGGTTAATTGTAGATCTCGGATCACAATGAATTCATTGACTCACCTCTGATTGTAGAAATTCAATCAACCATATGTCCTGACCTTTCCGACGTTGTTAAGACCGGTAAAACTTTTGTTTCTCATTCACTTTTCTAATCTTTTGTATCTTATTGTATCTCAAGTCAAAAAACATTAGCTTTACAGCTAAAATATAGAATATTATGCCGGTTGTTGTATTTTACATATAATAAAAAAAATTTTTCATTTATCACGACGATCTTTACTTATAAATTACTTTAAAAATTACAATTGACTGTATAAAAAAAAGATCATCACCACTCATATTTATTCTAATTTCAGCCAATCAAAATGAACTTCTTCAATGCTTCGTTTATATTTATTAATGCAAGATTAGAACATTCTGTAATTTGTGCTATGTGTTTTGCCTTTTTTCTGCATTTTGTGTGCTTTAATTTGTCAGTATTAGTTGTACACTCCTCTGACAAAAGTCACTAACTGATAAATTATTTTTTTTTTTAACTTAAATAATCATGCTAGTATTTTATTAGAATTCTTGATACTTTACAAATTACAGAGAATTTTTTTAATAACTAAGTTCAGTATCACCTGATCACCTTATTAGTATCTAAGTGTAATCTGTTGCACTACCTCAAACAGAGGTAAACTGCTCATCTAACTGTCACCTTATAATAGGATATCATCAATCTGATAACATTTTCTTGTAAAAAAGCAAAAAAACAAAAAAAAAGATTTTATATATAAAAAAACAGAAGTATAGAGGTAAATGATAAAAAATACAAAACAAAAAATAAAAGAGAAAAAAAAGAAAATGAGAAAAAAGAAAAGTATAAAACTTGTAATTTACAAAAAATCAAACAATTATAATTTTAAGACTGTATCAAATATGAAACTTGCAAATCACAGATATCAGACAATCATAATTATAAGCCTGTATTGGACTTATAAAAATTATAAACTATATTAAATAAAAATTACTCTACTATCTTTCTATTTACTTAGATTATTTAAACAAAAAACCAAAAAGAAAAAAAAAACTTTGACTTTATTATAGAAGATCAGTATAGGATGCTGGTTAGTCTAAAAGCAGTGTTTGACAGATTTCTAGTAGCTCAAGGCATGTGTATAGTTATGTTTATATTGCTGTATTATTTCTGATCTATATTATAAACAATTCCATTTAGAAAATAAACACTGCTGACTGTTTTGATAATTTTAGATATTGATCTTTAAGAGAAAGTAAACTGAATCACTTATTTTTATAAAATTTCCTTTAAAGAAAAAGTAAGAGTATTAGGTGAACCAATTTTTTAGCTTTTGTAAGTTCTTAACCCTTGTGGGTGTTCCTTGTAGATTTTACAATTGTATAGAATTAATATATCCAACTTTGTTGTTTATTTAATAAGAAATTTTAGCTTTTATTACCTACTTTTTCTATAGTTCTAGAATGCTTTTTAAATTATTACCACAAGACTGTGACTCTTTTTTAACTCTATTTCAATGTTCAACAATGCATATACATTAATTCAGAAAGGTTTTCATAAAGTTTAATATATTAACTATATTATTTTTTGTAGTTCAGTTTTTTGAAAAGTTTAGTTCAAGTGATTATTAGAAAGAGTTGTTAACTGATTGACAATTATTTTTAGAATAATTTGTAAATAAATAAAGACTTTTTAAATCAATTTTATAAAAAAAATTAATAATATTTTTTGATTTTTTTTTAAAAAAAAATATAACCAAATACTTCTAATATTTATTTATATATTTAATATTTTATAAAATTTCCTTTAGTTTTTTTTATAATACATATATGATTAGGTATATTATTAATTAAATTATAATAAATAGATTTGTCTAAATTGTATTACTTTTCTTTTAAAAAGGAAAATAGCACAGTCTCATTAGTTGGTAAAAGGGTATACCTATAAACCTAGCATTCCAATTCATCCTAAAGATGTTTGATAAAGTTAAGATCTAAACTCTGTGAGGGTCATAAAAAATGGACAATTTGATTTTCTTATATACAATTTTTTACAAGCCATGTATAATAAATTAAAGCATTGTTATTTTGAAAAGTATATTCAATATTTGAATCAAGAATTTCTAAAAATAGTAATAAATGAGTTTTCAAAAGCTCAAAATAGTTATTTAAAGTTTGCCAGCCATTAATTCAGATTAACAGTTCTAAACTATTTGCAATAAAACATCCTTATACTATAACCCTTCTTTTATTAGACTTAAAAGTTAAAACAAACCAATTTATATCATACTTTTTATTAGATAAATATTATATATAATAATGATTATTATCTTTATAAACTTCAAAACAAAATTCATCACTTCAAATAATAGCATCCTATTTCATAGTCCAATTTAAGTATTTATTTGCCTATGCATAATAAAGTTCTGATTTGGTTTACTAACGAATAGTTTTTTTTTATTAGCTCAAGCATAATAATCTTTTTTATGAAGTTACTATTGCAGAGTATATGTTAAAATGTTTACAGAAGTTAATTGCAAAAATTTATCTTATAAAACATTTAGAGTAATTTTGTGATTTTTTTTTATAACATGAACTAGATGATGTTTATTATAGTTATTTAATATAAGTAGTCTACTATTTCAGTCAGAATTTTTTATTTCATCAGTTTTTTTATACAAATTAATTATATTTTGAACTGTTGTCTTAGCAAAGCTAAGATTTTTTATAATAATAGAAACTAAAGAACCACACCTCTAAGCACTAACTATCTGATTTAATTTATTTTCAAACAATTCTTTTTGTTTTTGTAATATTGTAAAAAAACTTTTAATAAAATTACTATTTTTTTTATATTTTTAAAAATTATAAGTCTTAAACTATCTGACCATATAGATGTTATTTAGTTATAAGTAAAGTATTATCTAGGTATAAATAAACTGTTACCTAGTTTCTATTTTAGTACTTTGTAGTCTTTTAAAAACTACTTTGATTATCTTGTTTAGTTTGTTTTAGATTCTGGTTTAAAGATTGTTTTGGCTTTCTTATTTGCTCTACCTTGAGTGTTAGTTAGAAACTAACTTGGTTATCTTTTTTTCTCTACCTTGAGTGCTGATTTGGTAGTTGTCTTTGGTATTCAGATTTGGATTCTGATTCAGATATTAACTTGGATAAAGAAAGGCTAAATTAAAAAGAAGGTATATATCTAAAAAGATAAAAGCTTCTGCCAATATTTATATAATAGATTATATAAATGTATTAGCAAAATTTTTAAGCAGATTTATATCGATATATAGCATTTAATTGATATATATTGATTAAAAATAATCACTATATATCGATTAAATTGCTATATATTGATATATATTACTAATAATATATAATGATTATCGATATATAATAATTATAAATGATTATAATTATTATTGATTAGTAATGATTTTTATAAATTTCATTAAATTTTCTTAAACTTTAAATTTAATTTTCTCAATAACTAGTAATTCAAATTGGCTCAAATTTTTTTGTAAATAATAAATATATTCAACTATAATATACTAAAGTTTTAACCAATTTAAATTAATAGTTCTTGAAAAATTATTTGTAAATAATAAGTAATTTTTTTAAAAAAATTAACTATCATTTATAAATAATTTCTCAAGAACTATTAATTTAAATTGATTAAAATTTTAGTATATTATAGTTGAATATATTTATTATTTACAATAAACATTTAAGTCAATTTGAATTACTAGTTATTGAGAAAATTAAATTTAAAGTTTAAGAAAATTTAACAAAATTTTGATATATATCATTATAAATCATTAATGATAATACTTAACAAGAGTACTATATATTGATAAGAATATAGAAATTACTAACAATATATATTATTTTTAAAATTTTCCTAATAAGCCTTCACTTTTAAATATATATTTACTTGTCTATCTTTTTTTTTTGTATATTTGTCTACTCTAGATATTATATATGTCTGAGTATATACTAATATTAGAATAGTCTTCTGTTAATATTTTATATAATGATTATACAGAAGACTATTCTAAGTATTATCTATTAAAAATCTATTTATTTACAATTCTCTTGCTATCCTGCTATATGTATTTTTTTGCATTCATCAAAAAAAAAAATATATTGAATCTACTCTGTATTTGCCTTGGTGCTTCTCATATGTTTTATAATTTTACTTAATATATTACTCATAATCTTACTGAGTTGAACTCTTATTATTATTTTAAAATACTTTGAAGTTATTTTTTCTTATATTCTCCTAACCTTTTTGGCCTTTCTGACCTCTTTCTTATCTATTACTAGTAGTATAGCAAAGTATATTTTCTTATTTTTTTCCTATATATAATTCTATTTTGCTATATTACTAAATATATATCTTAGACACAAATCATTAACTCTTCTCAATGATCATTTGTACTAAATTTTCTCTAAACATAATTATAGTTTTCTTAATTTTTTATTAAGTAAATCTACTTTGACTGTCTAAGTAAAATTATTTTTAATAAAATTTTACATATAGACAGTTTAGTTTTATATCTTTATAGATATTTACTACTGTGATATAATTAAACTTTGTAATTTTTTTCTTTCTACAAAAACTTAAAAGTTTATTAAATAAATCATAATTGTTATATAAAACAAACTTGTGGGTTTATTAAATACTCTCCCCACTGATTCTTAATTCCAAAACAAGGGAAAATAGAGGCCTGCGTTGGGTCCCGCAGCCCGGCCCGGCCCGGCCCGGCCCGCAAATTTTTGCGGGCCGGGCCGGGCCT